CCCGCTCGAGGCGGTGTGCGGCGAGGAATAGAATGGCGGTGCGGGGCGAGGAGTAGGGAGGCGAGGCGCGCCGCTGCCCGTCCGCCGCTTACGTGACCGCTCGCACGTCTCCCCGCGCGGGGCCGCTAGGCCGACGCATCTCACCGCGCGCTTACATTCGCCAGTAGGTTGGGCTAATACGGCGATTTTTAAAATTTCGTATCTCGATAACTATTCGTCCAAGCGCAAAATAGTACAATACTTTTCTGTTTGTCTTAGTCCCCTCTACCTTCCCATGACCGGAAGTCAATATGTTGCGTAGCACCCTGTATAATCGATCTTTTACCTCTAATTTATTATCACTGTTCGAAATCGAACAATTATACGCATCTTAAATCCCAAACATATCGATGATCCAAGGTGTACAGCACGGGCCTCGAGAAAGTTCGAGAAAGACACTTAATCCCGCAAGCTGTTATTGCCGTTATTATTTTCTTTGTTTCGAGGACGCCGAGAAAGTCCGTGCTGTACACTTTGCAAACGTTTCCCCAAAACAAATTAAGCGAACACCACGCGTCGTCGCAACATCAGCACACGCGTGCCAACGACCGATGCCACCGAGCTGACGAGCGCGACCGCCAATCACGCTTGTCGTTGCGCGAACGCAACTGTTAGGCGCGCGCTAACGCACGTGGAGTCCTTCGGATTGCCAAAATTGATTGGGGTCACCGCAAATTTCAAAATCATCTTGAGGGTTAACGAGCAATTGATGTACGGAGAGGTAATATTGCCACTCTTATAAAAGAGTCAACCTTGCTCCTCCAAGACACAGTCGCTTTTGTCGTTGCCCAACCGCTCCGTCACTAGTTTCTCTGTATCGCTCGCGCATTGCTGTGAATCACTCTGAACTCAAAACTGCTTTCCTCCTGGACTGTGAATTGATTAACGAAATATAAATTTGTGTGAATTTTGTAGAAATCAAATTTTTGTGTACTGTGCCTTTCTTTTGTGGTCCGTCCGGTTTTCCTCGCTAGACTCTTGCTATTTAACCGCGCTTCTGAACAATCACACTTTACTTTTGACCACACTTGACCTAATCTTATTTATTTTACCTATTTGTTTTATTTATATTGTGACGTCATTTATTTATTCTCTTTATACAATGGATCTTTTACCTTCAATTTTTAATTTATTATCACACCTTACACTTATAGTCTCGTGAAATGCGGCCACATCTTACGTGATACTTCATGTTCCCGCTACTAAGTAACAAGATTCTACCTAAGATATTCCCTCTTATATTGTTCTTTAGTGTGCTGGTTTCTTCTTAATTATTACTTTATATTATTATATGTTTATATCATATGGTTTCAGTGTACTTGAGAAGGGCTCGAAACTAAGCCAAAACGTTGTAGATAAATAAATATATTGCCAGTTTGGTCAACGTACAACATAACATTTTCATCTCTTTTATCTTCGGCTAAAACTTCTAAATATGTAAGTTTTATATAGGTATGACCATATTAGTGCACACAATTGTGCAGCTTCTAGTATTATAACATAATGTAAAATAAATATTTTTCAGGAAAACATTGCTTTTAATGAAAGCAGTCTTTTTAAAGACAGTAGTAAGGAAAATAAAGAAAATTTGACATAAACAAAGGTAAATTAATTATAAATTATATAATTGGTAATTGTTATAAGAAATGATTGTTATGCATGAACATTTTTCAGGTGGAATCTCGGTATACAGGGTTTGTCAAAAGTGTGGAAACCCTAAATAATTTGTGTAAAAATAAAAATATCAAAAAACGGTAAAACACGTACACAACTGATTCTGAGTAGCCGTGAGAACAACTGATTTTGAGTACTTAAAATCGCTATAATTTTGTAACAAGTAATAAAAAAAATTGTTTTAAACAATTGTGTTTTCTTTACATCTGTTCATTTGTCTCATTATTCTGTTCACAAAAGTATTAAGGTAAGATGATAAAAAAATGAATATTTTACAAGATATTTTGTAATTTATGTCAAAATAAACTCGATATATTAGTAGATATTTGTCCAAAAATTACTCAGTTAAATTTTTGTTAACTTTCAGGGCGTGAAAGAAGAGTTTTGAGCATTTTCATTTTTACGCGTTTATCATGGAGTCTTATGGGAAATCACGTTGTAGGTACATTCAATTCCGTATTTTACAACAATTACAGTTCAGATGATTATAAAGATTGACAGGAAATAACTTTAAAGCCTGAAGAACATGTTGCGTACTCAAAAATGCTAATTCAGAGCGTAGGAATAAGCAAATTTATATCAAACGCGATAATCTCACGGGTAGCCGGCCGATGTGGCAACGTCGCAAAAGAGGTTAGAGTGTGCGCTATTCATAATATAATTTATTATCTGCATGCTGGACAATTCGTCAGTGTAGGTTTTCCAGTCACGAAAAAAGTAATGCTTAATTAAATTAATCATTTATTACGTAGATTTTTAAACGTTTGAATTAAAAAAGATTTCTGAAAATATAATGAAACACATACATAGCAATAATAATAATTATATTTTATTTTTAAACAAAAATCTTAAATCATCTTTATCACAGTAAATATTTGAACTTTTATTATAAAAGTAAAATTTTGTATTTTTACTTAGAAAATTAAGAAATTGTATAATATAAAATTTTTCGATTATAAGCTTATGCATACATGAACTTACAACTATTTTCGTAGACAATATGAACTTGAACAATATTAATCTTGAACAATTACAGTAACGCAATAATAATCTAATAAATACTGATCATTTTATATTTCGTAATTCTTTGTTGACTTCACTTGAAATTTTTTTCCATATAATCATACAGTTTCTTTAGGATTTTATCTTTCGTAACTTTCACTATACCATTTTCATCTTTTCCTAATATTTTTGATAATCCCTCAAAATTATTTTGCTGATATTCATCAACAATCATATCAAATGTTACGTTAGCGACTACCATTTTCTTTCTAATACCCTGAGATGTACAATCTTTTAAAGCATTTAACTTTTTTAAAGCGATTGGTAGATTCTGTGATAAAATAATTTTGTTTTCTGCTTCAATCCAACTTAAAATGCATTCTTTTAATTGAGCATTAGATATATTCAATTTCATTAAAACTTTCTCTAACATTCTTACGTCTTCAATAGCGTCGTGTGCTTTTTCACAATTAATTTCAAGATTTCTTCAGTCGTAATGGCTTCCGGATGGTTGCTGTGTCCGTTTGCAGTGTGGTGCCGATGTTTCGCAGGCGTTGCAGTCTGCATCATCAGGGCTGGGAGACTCTGATACTGAGCTCCCTTGCGTTGCGGTAGTCCTTATATACCTGTGTTCCCTTTTGAGAGGTGGCGGGGAGAGGGAAGGACCGGGGGAGGGAGAGAGGGGAAAGTCAGTCAATCGGGGCGTTGTAGGCTGACCTATTAAAAGAACCGGGAGGGCGGTGTGCCATATCGGGTTAATCTGGTAACCTTTGTCGTGGTTCAGGTTCAGGTTATCAGGGTGTTTCAAGATTTCAAGGCCTTCGCGGTGTTTTCGTGCGAAATAGCTGTGGGACGGGGCCAGCATGGTGGCTTTGTCGAATTGGACGGCGTGTCCGGTCTCAATCTTGTGTTCGGCTAGGGCTGATTGTGAGAAGTGGCCGTATTTGGTACATCGCTGGTGTTCTTTGATCCGTGTACTGATCTTTCTCCCGGTTTCTCCTATGTACACTTTTCCGCAAGCGCATGGGATTTTGTAAACCCCTAGGGCTGCCAAATGGGGTCTCCGATCCTTGAGATTGGGGAGCATTTGAGAGAGTTTGTTGTGTGGTTTGAATATCACTTTTATGTTATGCTTGCTCAAGACTCTGCTGATGCGGTTCGTCGTGCCTCGGAGGTACGGGAATACCCCACCGCCTTTTTCTTCTCTTTCTCTGCCTCTGGCGTCCTGGTGTCGTTAAGGCTGGGTTCCTTGTTTGTCAGCTTCTGGATTGTACGGTTGATGTTTCTGCTACTGTATCCATTCCTTGTCAGGGCTCGGTGGAGGTGGTTTAGTTCTCCGTCCAGGGCAGCTGGTTCTGAGATGAAGAGTGCTCTGTGGACTAAAGAGTTAATCACCGAATTTTTTTGGGCGGGATGATGGTGGGAGTTTGCATGGAGGTATCGGTTCGTGTGTGTCGGTTTACGGTAGACGTTGTGGCCTAAGGTGCCATCCTCGTTCCTGCAGACCAATACATCCAGGAAGGGAATTTGGGAGTTCTGTTCAATCTCCATTGTGAATTGGATGTTACCCCGTGAGAAATGATTTATCGATCGATGTCGAAACGATATCGATTCGACATCGACAACGTCAATTGACGTAGATTCGACATCGTTTCGACATCGATCAACGAATCATTTCCCACTGGGTATAGGGTGCTGGGAGTTCATAAACGTGAGAAATTGAAGCAGGGTTTCCCTTCCGTGGTTCCAGATGACAAAGGTGTCGTCCACGTATCGGAACCACGTGGAGGGTTTTAGTGGAGCCTTCTTCAGAATTTCGTTCTCAAAGTGTTTCATGAAGATGTTCGCGATGATGGGTGATATGGGGGATCTCATTACTGCTCCCGTGGTTTGTTCGACGAATTCTCCTTGAAACTGGAACTCCTTCAACAAACTCTCTCAAATGCTCCCCAATCCCAAGGATTGGAGACCCCATTTGGCAGCCCTAGGGATTTATAAAATCCCATGCGCTTGCGGAAAAGTGTACATAGGAGAAACCGGGAGGAAGATCAGTACTCGGATCAAAGAACACCAGCGATGTACCAAATACAGCCACTTCTCACAATCAGCCCTAGCCGAACACAAGATTGAGACCAGACACGTCGTCCAATTCGACAAAGCCACCATGCTGGCCCCGTCCCACAGCTATTTCGCACGAAAACACCGTGAAGGCCTTGAAATCTTGAAACACCCTGATAA